CATCAGTAGCACTGTATTCTGGCATTACATATATTGCTTGCCTTAAATACAGCAGCAGCACCCCAATCTGATTCCTTTAAACCTGAAAACATTTTATTTTAGGTAGTGTTGGCTGTGACACAAGATTTTTTTCAACCTAGCAGTTATAGGCCGGAATTGGCTGGTGAAAGAAAGCAGCCACAGTGGATCTAAAAGCTATAGAAGAGTTTACATCTGTCCTCCCCCTTTCTGTTATTTTTTTCTCCAATTCAGCTCACTTTCTAGTTCAGCTATGTTGTCCTAGATTGCTCACTCCTGCCTTCTCCAAATTCTTCACCCTTTTTTAAATAAACCTGTTAATGTCCCCAAATCACCCCTATGTCCAGTATCTTAAAACCAGCTTGCCAAAGCTGCTGCCTTTGCAACTGCTCCCATCCCAGCTTGTGAAATTAGCCCCCTTCCACAAGTTTATGTCTTGTGCTACACCTCAGTGGCATGTGCCCAGCCATCGATTATTTTTTTTGCCCTGAAGGCTATCCCTCAACTTCCTCGTTTATCCTTCATGGCACACTGGGTCATTCTTTTGGTGGCTGGGAAGGATGCAGCAGAGTGAACACTACTGAAGCTGTGGGCACTGCCACATGTCTTGTCTGATGGTGACATTTCATTCACCTATACCCTTTCCTCCTCACTGGCCTCAATCTTCAACTCCTTGGAACCAGCAGTCCCCCCAAGAAGTGCCCAGAGCACAGGCAACATCTCAAGCTAAATACTGTCGTGCTGTGTTGTAGTTCTTGTCACAGGAGCCACAATGGGTCAGAGTTGCTGGTGAGGTGATGGGTGACTCCATGCCATATTCAGCCAGGTAAAGTAGTGTGTGAAAACAGGACTCACCTGCTGGTCACCCTTCACCTGGAAGAAATCAAATTGGCACCTTGGCTGACACATACCCTCCCCCCTCCTCATCCACCTCCTCCTCTCTCTCTACTTTCCCCCCCATTCCTCATTCACCTCTTCTTCCACTTTCTCCTCCACCTCTTCCTCCCTTTACTCCTTTCTTCACTCACCTAATTCCTCCACCTCCTCTTCTTTCTATGTGCCTTTGGTGGGAGGAGAGGCTCTGGGAAGCTGAGGTCATATGGGAAGAATAGTGTCTACTGAATCATACATGGTGGAGAACTGGTGAAAACATCCCTGTTCCTCCAGTTCATGGCCAGGGCAGTCCCACATTAACATTTTTAAACCCGTCATCACAATTTTCTTTATGTATCTTTATTTTTGTTACACTTATTTACATATTTAGCTATTAATCTTTTATATTTTTTTTATTTATTTTTTTAATGAAGTTGTCCTGGCCTTGGTCAAGCAAATAAAGGCAGATAATGAACCTGGGAAAAATATTGACAGCTGGGACAGGGAACTCAATTGGGTTTTGCCTTCTTGGTCCTTGTTGGCCTTTTTCTGTGGAAAGGGGAAGTGCAGGCAACAGCAAAATTGAAGCATATAATTCTATGGCCAGAGGCTGCCTGCCTTTCCCAAAGAGTGAAGCTTTAAAACTTAAAGTAGCACTTATCAACACCCACCCTTCTCTCTTACCACTTCACTATCTCACTAGTAACAACCTTCCCATGCCAGGTGTTTGCTGTATGCTGGGGTATGCCATTCAGACTGCTCTAGTTACCCTAGGTGGCACTGATGAGCATAGATTATAAATGAAGCCCTAAGTGTCTCTGAGATGATACATTTGAATTTGTATTGTAGGAAAACATCTGCCTTGTTTGTGTACCCACACTTTAGTCTATTCACCTTGGTCACATGTGTGTACTGTACTGGCCAATTTTTACCAAACTATGCCTATAGCTCTGATATTTATGAAAAATTAGGTATATGGGGATGTTCGGTTCGAACATTAGGTATGGTGTTCGGTCCGAATTCGAACATTAGATCATGGAAAAAGCTTGAACTCGAACTCAATGCAAGTCTATGGGGCAAGAACTTTGAAAATCAATTGTCTTATATGCAAGCTTATATATTGGCCATAAAAAGGGTATGGGGATTCGGGTACAGCCATGGGAGACATGTATCAATAAACAAAAACTTAAAAAAATACAGTTTTTAATGGAGCAGTGATTTTCACTTAAAGTGAAACAATAAAAATGAAGAATTCCTTTAAATATCGTGCCTGGGGGGTCTCCTTAAATTTCCTGTAAAGAGGCACATCTGTACGATGTATAGAACCTGCTCTAGCAAAAATGATATTTAAAGAAAAGAAAGACATTTAAAAAGAAAAAAAAGTGTGCGGTTACACCCCCCC